CACATCCTGTTACATTCTAGTGGCCATGTCCATCCAAAGCCCAGAGCCACCCTCATCTCCCATGCAGACAAGAGCTGAGATGAAGTTCCAGGCTGAGCATCTGCAATGTGCCAGGCATATGGGTGCGGCGAGCGATGAAGTGGCAGAATCTGAGTCCCATTAAAAAGAAAAGAAGAGATTTATTTATTTTATGTGTGCCTGCACCGCCTAAGGAGGCCAGAAGAGGGCATCAGATAGACCTGAGATCGGGTTATAGATTGTTGTGAGATACCCATATGGAATTGAACTGAGGTTCTTTAGAAGGCCAACTGGTGCTCTTAACCACTTAGCCATGTCTCTAGCCCCTGACTCTGACTCCCATTATTAAGAGAGAGTTTTGGCTTGATGTAGAAGCAAAGGACCCCTGTTAGGTGGTTGGAATACGGTGACGGGGCTGGGGGAGGGGTGGGGAGGAGGAGCTGGTGAGTGGCAGGTGGTCACAGGTGGGTCATGGTTTTAGGCAGAGACCAGAGGATTGTCTGATGGGATAGATTCAAGGGTTAAGGAGGAGAGGAAGCAAAGGATGGCTGCTTGATGTTGACCTTGGGTGAAGTCCAAGAAAAAAGAAGGGAGAGGTGTGGGTCCCAGTGCCAGATGAAGTCTGAGGTCCCATCAGACCTCCTGGTGAGATGAAATCAAGCCCATGGGACTTGAAATGAGGGGAGAGGTCCAACCTGGAGGCCATGTCTTTAACCTTCATCATTTCACGGAGAGGGATTTGTGGGTTTGGGGCTTTCTGAACTGCCTTCTCTTGGTGTGTTCGTGGTCTCAACGAGAACGGCCCGCATAGGCCCACATATTTGAATGTTTGCTCTGCAGTTGGTGGAACTATCTGGGAAGGATTAGGAGGTGTGGCCTTGTTGGAGGGGGTGTGTCATTGGGTGTGGGATTGAGATGTTAAAAGCCCATGTCATTCCAAGCTATCCTCTCTCTGCCCTGAGGTTGTTGTCTCAATGTGTGAGCTCTCCATGTCTAATGCCATGCTCTCCATCATCATCTTAGACCCTAGTCTCCTCAGGAACAAGAAGCCCTAAATTAAATGATTTCTTTTATGAGTTGCCTGGGTCATGATGTCTCTCCACAGCAATAGAGAAGTCGTCAAGACCAATGGAAGAGCAGTCCAATGAAAGAGCGAGTGAACATAGACACATTTATAATATGCCGGTGACCATGCTAAACACTGCTCTACATTTTAAGGAAACTGAGGCAGAGAGGTGAATTGTCGCTACTGTTCCCTATTGGGAAGTCATTGTTGTGGGGTACCAGCAATGCAAGGCTGCCCACACACTGCAGATTTTATGGCTTAGGACCCTTTACTCCTCAGCCTTTGTACTGAGCACGGTGGGCAGCTGGCTGTGTGACAGGAATCGCAATGGCCATGAACTCTGGGGACAAGGTTCAGATCCAGACTCTGCTATTTACCGCTCCTCTGCTTGCAGAGAATGGATACACCGATTTTTCAGGATGCCTTCCAAGCATCTTTTCTCCATGTCTCCTGCCTCTGCTCGGCTGTTTCTTCTCCAGCTACCACACCACCCCTGCCAACCTTACCCTTCCTAGCTGACTCTCATTTCCTGGCAGCGCCAGGGTGATTATTTCTAATTGTCTTTGACTGCTTGCAGCTGGGTCCCGTAGCTGGCGTACCGTGGGAGCACGCACAGTCTCTCAGCCATATGGAAGGAGGGGAAGGGGAAGAGGAAGGGCGGGAAGGAAGCAGCTGGCAAAGTCAACCGAAACAGCTTAGCCAGGCTCCCCTGGCCAATTGCGAATGATGGTGCTTTTGAAAGGGTTAGCTCCTCCAAGTCTGAGGATGCGCAACAATGTAACAATTAGTAACTTTAGAAAGTCATTTGTAAGGTCTACCTGAGGGAATCTTGCTGTCCCTAAGCAAGGAAACGTCACTGGCCATTCAGTAACTGAACAAAAACTCTTTAGGAAAGTCTGTAGATCCCACACAGTGCAGGGCAAAATGCAAACCCATAGACACAGCCCCTGTCCACTGGCTCTAAAAGAGGGGCATCCAATAAGCAATATGGAAGACTTCTAGAAGGTGGATGTGACCATGAATGGCACCCAGTGCGAGGGACAGAGGGGTCAGCAGTTTACAGCAGCTCATGGGTCGGGAAGGGCTTCTCCTAACGGAACACCTCGGATGGATGGAAATGGGCCCGAGGCTGCAGTTTGGAAGTAAGTGTGGAATACGTGGGAAGTGGGGGTTTAGGAAAGCCAGGCCTGCATGAGGACCGATAACTTGTTCTTTTTAAAAAATACTTTATTTTAAAGTAGGTGTGTATGTATGTAGGGGAGCATGTGCACTTGAGGGCAGGCGCCTCTGCAGGCTAGAAGAAGGCATAGGATTCCCTGGAGCTGCTGATACAGGTGGTTGTGAGCTGGTCAGTGGGCATGCTGGGAGCCAACCTCTGTACCTCTGGAAGAGCAATGCAGGCTCTTAACCACTGAGCCACCTCTGCAGTACAAAGGCAGCTAACCTGTAACGCCTAGAGGAACCCTAGAGGAACTCAGGGGTTTAGCAGAGGCTCGTCAATATGTGTGACAGCCATGCATTTCCACATCACCTAGTGCGAGGGCGATGCGGTGTTTTGTGTGCTTATTTGTCTTATGAAGTGAATTCTGGAGTCATTCCTAACTGAGCAAAGCCACTTCGGAGGGCAGGGACTGTAGTTCAAAAACCAGTTACTAAACACAGGCAGGGGTAGGATTTGAACTTCTCTTTGGCATCCATCCCAGCCAATAGAATTAGCAGTGAGCTCGGATCAGACCCAGGCAGCAGGCTTGAAGAAGATTTAATGGGCCTGTGTTTTCTCTCTTCTTCGCCCCTTTCCTGACCTCTACCCTGGGAGGGTACAATGAAAGCATTAAAAGGAAAGAAAGTCTCTATTTCATAAGTGACTTCCACCACTTGTGAAGTTGTTCCCCCATAAAGGATGAGTACTGTCTGGGATTTGCCTGAAATTGCAACAAACAAGTCTCTACATTTTCACAAAGAGCTAACTTCCTAAAATGAAATTAATGCAACATTGGGAAACTTTAAATCCTTCCCTGATGGGAGAGTCACCCCAAAGTGGGCTGGCTTCATCTTCCTCACACATTGGACCTAGCATCCCCTTTCTCTCCCCACCCCCTGTCCTCTTAAAATTAAATTACTGGATTAGAAACACGAGAACGATTGGACGAGCCCTGCAGAAACTGCAGGACCTAAGACCTCCCTTAAGTACAGTAAGAAAGCCGGGGGAAGCTTGTCTTTAATGTGGGAAACAGAAAGCAATGAGCCCCCGGCAGAAGACAAGCGCCAGACTGGGTCATGCATGGCAAGGGAGGGGAACTGGAGCATGTCGTTGGTTCAAAACAACCGATCCTTCAGCTCGAAAACGGGCATTTTCCGGGTTATTTTTCAGATAGGTCAGGGAACCTTCACTGGAATGGTGACAGCTGTATCCCCGCCCCCATCTCAGAGCATTAATGCGGGTCGATGATGTCATACCTGTTTACTGCGGGGTAAACAATGAAACGAACTTTGTTAGGGCTGAATCCTCCCTTTGAGCTCAGGTGTGTGTGTGTGTGTGTGTGTGTGTGTGTGTGTGTGTGTGTGTATGTGTGTGATCAGAGGTTAAATTTTTTACATTAGACACGGCCACCTCAACAGGTCGCATTTTGGAAAGGCCTGTCTGCATCCTTTTTGTGTGTGTGTCCCTCATTTCGGTTCAGGAAGATGTTGGGGAACCTGGAAGTATCGGGTAGGTGCCTCAGAACAGATGTAATTGTTTATGTGAGATCGGTACAGTCACAGAGCCTGAAGAACAAAAGCACACATGAGCGGCGAGGCTCCGGTCGGGATCACTCTGCAAACATCATCATCGCTATGGGAAGCAGAGAGGGTGCAAACGTACACGCACAGGCAGCAAACGCCCTGGTTCCTACGCTGCCGCCACGACTGTTAACTGTGGCAGCTGCTTCTTCACTAACCCAGCAATCTGGTCTGCATGCCAGCCTGAACACACAGCCTGCTACGGCCCCCCAACCCCGCCACCCACCCACCCACCCACCCACCCACCCACCCACCTACCCACCCATCCATCCATCCATCCATCCATCCATCCATCCATCGTCCAGGGGCCCTACTGTGTGCCAGGCTCTGAGCTGAGTACCTAACCCTTCTAAAATCCAGAGCTCCTCTTTCTCTTTCCCCTACCCTTGGTGGGTGCGGCTAGTGCAAAAATTTACTCCCGAAAGGCCCAGAAAGCTCAAGCCCAGAACCAGTGCTATCGGGGCCGCTGGAGGCGGCAGGTCTCGGGCAGCCCGGGAGCGCGCGTCTCCGCGGCCGCGCGGGGTCCCCCTGTCTGGCGCTCAGGTGGCTTCGCCGCCCACTCCGCCGCTCCCTCCCCCTCCCCTCTCCAGGAAGGGTCGAGTTCGGCTGTTGCGCGCGGGGAAGGAAGGAGGGGCTACGAGGGATTTGAAAGTGCTCCGGCTGCCGAGTGGAGCTCGCCTCAGTCCCCGCCGCCCGCGAGCGGATTCAATTTCTGCAAATTCAAACTGAATGAGGCTTTCTTCTGCTGCCTTCCAGAGGGCGCCTGCAGCCCGCCGCGCGCTCCTCTCCGGCGGGAGCGGCCCCGGGACGCACCGCTGACGACCCGGCGGGCTAGAGGGGCGGCGGCGCCTGGGCTTGGGGGACCCCGCCACCCGACCTCGTCCCTCTCGGAGCAGCAGCCGTCTCCCCCCCCCCCCCCAGCCCCCGAGCAGGACACCCGACGGGACGGTGGACGCGATCTGGGCGACCGATCCTCCGAGGACGAACTTCTCGGGGGCGGGTCCCCGCTCGCCCCGTCGCCAGCTATTGTCTGCGCGCCGCGCTCGCACGGAGGCGCGGGGGGCGTGAGCGCGGAGACCCCGGCCGGGCGGGGCCGGGCCCAGGGCGGCGGCAGGAGGAGCCGGGGCAGCGCCGGAGGAGGAGCGGCTGCGAGCGCGGGAGCCGAGCAGCAGCGATGCCGGCAGCGGCGGGGGACGGGCTCCTGGGCGAGCCGGCGGCGCCCGGGGGCGACGGGGGCACGGAGGACGCAGCCAGGCCGGCGGCGGCCTGCGAGGGAAGTTTCCTGCCCGCCTGGGTGAGCGGCGTGTCCCGCGAGCGGCTCCGGGACTTCCAGCATCACAAGCGCGTGGGCAACTACCTCATCGGCAGCAGGAAGCTGGGCGAGGGCTCCTTCGCCAAGGTGCGCGAGGGGCTGCACGTGCTGACCGGAGAGAAGGTGAGCCCGGGCGCGGGAGCCTGGCGGGAAGACCCGGGAGCCCTGTCCCGCCAGCACCCTGCCTGTCCTTCTAACCCCGTGCAGCTGGACGCACTCCCACGCTTTCGCAGTGGGCCGGCAGGCATCCACTGATGGGTGATGAGGGAGCAGCAGGTTCGTGGGGTGGGGGACCCGGACGGATAGAAGTACCCGCGAAACTACCCCGCACTGCCTTTCTGTGTTGTTTTGGAAGGGTGCCGCCTGGCGGACGCCAGAGAAGGGGCCGGAGGCGGGCATAGAGGTGGCCTTGGGGGAGGGGGGGTGTCCTGCTGTCTGACCGAAGGAACTACATCTAGACGTGTGTGTGTGTGTGTGTGTGTGTGTGTGTGTGCGCGCGGGGGGGGGCGGATAGGGGGGTCGGGGGTGGAGGGTGGGGTTGAGGATGGCCAGCCCTGCTTCTGGAATGTGAGGCGGGAGAACAGGGTAACCAGTCTCTGGGACTGCTTGCAGTTTCAACTCTCCTGGCCTCTGGTGAGGACGTGGAGGAGAGTTGAGGCCCTGGAAGCTACCCTCTCCACCCGCGTGGGCTGGGGCAGCTGGCGAGCTGCAGCAAAGACCCTGCTTTTGGCAGGTGCAAGACTACACAGTTAGGCCTCCGACTTTAGAGATTTGGAGATGCTTTTTTAATCTTTCGGGGTGGGGGGGTAAAGGAAAGGAGCCCCTCCCCCACGTCTGGAGTGACACTACTTCGACCTAATTAGAAGTTAGAGGGTGTGAACTCTTGCCAGGCCCGGTGTGGGCAGATCTCAGGTGTAACTTAGACTTGTGAGAAGAAACCTAAGAAGAGGCTGACTTTTGAGGCTGGGTTGCTCCACACAGGGAATTGCTCGGGGCTGTGGAGCTAGTGTCCTCACATGGACACAATACTCCCAAACTTCCCCCAGGCGGAGGGAGGAGGAGAACTCAGGGGGTCCTAGCAGCAATAGCCCAAGGGCCAAACCCTTGTTCCTGCTGCTCTAAGTTCCTAGCTCAGCCTAGGAGTTTGTGATGGTGATAATTGTGAGAACTATGGCGATAGCGCCTAGCGGCTGTGCTTGCCTTGTCTCAGCCTCCTGATACTTTGTTTCCCTTCTGGTTTCTGTTGTCCTGGAGACCCCAGCGGGTGAGCACTGGGACCCATCATCCTTAGAAATGGTCCTCTCTTTCTGTAGCCGTCCCAAGTGGGGTGCCCCTTTAAACTGGGTAAGCAGGGCTAAACCGAGTCATTTTCAAAAGTGCCTCTTGGCAGAATTTCCAAGTTCAGTATGAACTCACTTTATCTCCTCAGAAAAGAACAAACTCTTCAGACCCAGCGCTAGTCGTCCTAATGGGAGTAAGCAAAAGTTTATTTACTCTATGGTGTGCGGTGGGCTGCCTGCCTGATATGCCGAGGTCCATTCAGCGTTCTGGGTTGCTGGGTGGTTCAGTGAGCTCCTGTTCTGGTGTGGAGAGGTGTAGGAGTATGTTTCCACGCCTAACCTATAGGATTCAGCCTGGCTATGGGCATTACCTCATTTACAGGACTCAGCCTGGCCGTGCACATCACCTCCTTAAAGAGGCCAGTCTTCCTGTTAGCTGCACATTGCCTTCCTTTGCTCCCAGGTCCTTAGAGGCTCTGGCCATGTTGGGCTGGACCTTAGCTCCTCACGGGTGCAGTTTGGCCCCATGGCATAACACTTTGGCCCCTTGGCTGAACTGCCTGGGGATGCATTCAAAGTTCAGCCCTTACCTCTGAACCCGTCCACCAACCCCAAGTGCTTCACCTCTGGTTTCCTATGCTACTCCTGCCCAAGTGGGGTCCAGATGAAGAGTCCCTTTCCTCTTGTCTTTGTGATGGCTCTATTCATCTTTGCAGTGAGGAGATGCTTGGTGGATGAACAATTATTTCCCTGGACTAATTGATCTGGTCTGGTTAGAGACCATGGTCCTGGGTGGAGGAGTAGAGGTCAGGGAAGGTTACTTCCGATGCAAACCTTGGTCTTTCCTGCTGTGCTTTTCTCTAGCTAGAAGAATCCCTGCTCAGGGACACCAGAGCATCCATCAGGAGGAACCCAGGGTTTAGTTCTTTCGGTTGTGAACTTTAAAGAAACAGTGGTGCCAGGCATGGCTTTTATCTCCCTAACTCTACACCCTTAGCGCTCAACTAGTAGACATGGGCTTCAGTGGATTGAAGAGTTGAGAAAGAGGGGGGAGGAGGGAGGGAGGAAAGAGAGATATTAGTGAGCTAATTAATGAGTCTCCAGCTCTCCTTTCTTTTTTTGGGGTTTTGCCTTATTATACAAAACTAAAGGGAAAGTGAATTGCAAGCTATTGCAAACCAACCTGCAGGTCAGGCAGGGGAAGCGGAAGTTGGTGGGAGCCCCCCACCCCCTTTCTTGGGATACATACTGTCTGCTAAACCCATTCACCGATTCCTCTCATTTTCGGTGGGTATAGATTTCCCTTGTGAAAATGCAGTGGTGAATACGGCCATGAGGACTAAGTGTAGAAGGCTTCAGAAGTAGCTGGCTTGTCCGGAGAAGTGGGTGCACGGACCAGGGGATGGAGGGAAGATGCGGGCACACCATCTCAAATACCATCCGTCTCAGAGCATCTCTTATCAAAGCATGGGTTTTATTTTGGTTGGTGTGTGGCCAGATCCAGACTCTTGCTAGTTGAAGGCATCTGAAGCAGTGTGGGTGGTGGTGGTGAGTGTGTCTTTGGTGAGGTGCTTTGGATAAAACCCTCCGGGGTGTGTGAAGCATTCCTGGCTCAGTGCAGTTGACAAACAAGTTCCCTTTCCCCCACTTCCATTTTGGGCTCAGCCTTATCTCATCAAGAGGCTCCTTTTCCCTCTGCTGCCTGCAGGGCAGGACAGGACAGGACAGGGCAGGGTTTTTACCTCAGTGGCCTCCAAAGTTGTTTGGAAGTAATCTGACTCTAGATGGCCCCTTTGCGGCTGAACACAAAGGGCAGCTTAGGGCTGAGACCTAATTTTGCTGTTTATTTAGCGTTCTATGAAGACAGGCTCTGTCCATGCGGCTTTATAAAAATAAATATTCACTTGATCATGTGAGATTCTTAATTCCTATCTTCTCGGTCATGGCTGCAGTGATGTTTGGACCAGGAATCATCTGTTAGGTTCTGAAAAGCATCACTCACTCACCGTGGCTTTGGCATAGAGAACAACGTTGCAGGGCAGGAGTATGGGCTAGCAGCTCTGACAGACTCCGGGAGGCTTGGTTTGTCATCTCACAGTGGTTCCCGATAGGCCAGGAATACCTGTGCTAGGCCCATGAGAAGTTACTGTCACACTTTAGAACATGGATAGATCGTAGCTGAAATGGCTCAGTGGCGCAAGGTGTGGGCTGGCAACCGTGATGGCCCATGTTTCCACCCTGGTGACCCTGTGGTAGAAGAAGAAAAACAACTCCTTAAAGTTGTCCTCTGACCCTCAGACCTCCACGGGTGCAATGTGGTGTATGCCCCTCTCCCCAGGGAATGTAGTGAAGTTAAAAATGCTTAAGAGCAAAGCAAAGAAACTTAATGGGAGAAAGGACAAGAGCCTCTCGGGCTCAGCCGGCTTAGTAGGCAAACTTATTCAGCTGGGCAAAGAGTGGTGCCACCTTCACACCTCACCTGTGATTAAGAGGCCCAGGGTGCGCTAAACTGTCTCAGATAACTTCATTCTAACCTTTGGTTTTTATTTAAAAAGTCCATTTATACATTTCATTAGAGCTATTTTGGGGCTAAAAACAAGGACTGCCTGCTTAGTAAGTTGCAAGTCATCACACGCAGAACACAACGGTACCAGATACCTGGAGTGAAGAAGTTGCTAAAATTACCCTTTACTATGTTTTGCGGAGCAGGAAATATGACTAATTTTAGAGGTGGCCTTTTGGCAGATCTGTTTTTAGCAAGTATTTCTGAAACAAACAGGTGCTAAATCCTGGATTTCTTTTTAAGTGCTGGAAATTTTCGGGAGCAATGGTTCTGAGGAGCAAGGCATGCGTGGAGAGCTGGAAAGTTCAGGAGGGGTGTGCAGAGGCAGCTGCCCTGTCTGTCTGCTGTGACGAGGCAGTGCCTGTAATTTCCTGGATTACAGGTGGTGCGGTTGTGGGCACGTTCTTTTGAGCCTTGCCTCATCTTTTTGAAGTACTTGGGGGTGATGGAAATTGGCAGGTAGGGCTTGTTCCTTAGTGCTCACTGGTACTGGGCCAAAGGACCACAACGGGTGCGGTGAGTCAGCATCACCCTGCAGAATGGTACCCACCGGGGAGGAGCTCACCATGCATTTTCTCTGCAGGTGCTGAGCCCAGGCTGCACTTACTAATCTGACTTGGGTCTTTAGGTATCAGTGTCTGCAGAAGGCTGGCTCTTCCAGGGAATAGCAATCACACAGAGCAGTGTTTTTCTTCCCAGCAGGGGTGGGGAGTGGCAGCCATATCCATCTAAAGGGATGGGCAGGTTGGATCAATGGCTCTGGCATAAAGTGTTTTTTGACTGGAGTTTTTTTTTTTTTTTTTTTTTTTTTTTTTTTTTTTTTTTATTTTTATTTTTTTATTTTGCCCCCCTCTATCGCTTACGTTAAAGTGGAGAGACTTTCTATCTTGCCTAATTGCACTCTGGTCAGTGAACCATATTTTTGAGGCAAGATTTGGCCTCAAAACTTGCTACGTCATCGGGAAGTGATGTTCAGCTTCTTGGCCCTCCTGCCTCCACCTCTAGAGTACGGGGATGATGGGTGTCTGCCATTATGCCCACTTTATTCAGTGATGGGATTGTCTTAGTTGCGGTCCTGTTGCTGTGAGGAGACACCATGACCAAGGCAATTTATAAAAGGAATCATTTAACTGAGGGCAGTTTCAGAGGGTAAGTCCATGGCCATCCTGGTGGAGCAGGCAGGCAGCCAGGCAGGCATGGGCTCTGGGGCAGTAGCTGAGGGCACACGTTTGATCTCTAAGCAGGAGGCAGAGAGGGAGACTGCTCCTCGTAGCCCAACC